ATGGGGTCACTGCAGCATCCTTATGTCTTTGGCATACACTTGCAGCAGCCTATTTCAAAATGAAGGCATTTATGTTTGTGTCTACCAGTGTGTTATTTCCATGGCTTATGCACAAGAGGGATGAGGTTCTCTAAGCAGTTGCCTGCTCATATGAGAGGCTTCCGTTCCCTCTAGCTGTTGGGCAGCAGACAGTTTGCTCCTCAGGTTCTATGAAGCATCCTTATGTCTTTGGCATACACTTGCAGCAGCCTATTTCAAAATGAAGGCATTTATGTTTGTGTCTACCAGTGTGTTATTTCCATGGCTTATGCACAAGAGGGATGAGGTTCTCTAAGCAGTTGCCTGCTCATATGAGAGGCTTCCGTTCCCTCTAGCTGTTGGGCAGCAGACAGTTTGCTCCTCAGGTTCTATGAGGTCTGGACAACATGTGCTTGGGGGAGCAATGCAAAAGGAAATGGTAATAATGCTGTGCCAATTCACCCTGACAATCAGCATCAGCTAAATCAAGTGGGGAGGGAGCAGTTTGAGCAGGATGCCAGAGAGAATCCTGGTAAATCCAAGGTAAATAGTGTCTCTTCACTGCATGATTGATGCCAGATTCACCAGCCATGTGGCTGGCATCGCTTTTGGGACTCAATCCCATTTGTCTGGTCCCTTCCTACATTTTCATCCCTGCTTTGGTTCTGCTAACATTCTAGACAACTGTAGCAGCCCACTAGCTCTTTGCAATGGCATTTAGAAAGAGCGTCAGAGAATGAGTGAAAGGGCACACATTTGAGTCATACCCCAGCATTTCAGGAGTGGAGGAGCATTTATAAGTGAAATGCCTTTTCCTTTATAAAAAGAGCCATTTTTTCCACTTCTCACTGGGATTATGTAGTGGCTGTTCAGTGCTGGAACATGTGAGCAAGCTGCTGAAGAACATCTTGATGTAAAGAGCATCTTGACTGCAAGGGGGTTTTATAGCTGGGGGAGGGTTGTGTGGTGTGCTAATGCCAGCCAGCAGCTGAGCAC